CTGAGGCAGGCTGAGGCTGAGGCTGAGGCAGGCTGATGCTGAGGCAGGCTGAGGCTGAGGCTGAGGCTGATGCAGGCTGAGGCTGAGGCTGAGGCTGAGGCCGAGGCTGAAGGCAGACTGAGGCTGAGGCTGAAGCAGCTGAGGCTGAGGCTGAGGCAGGCTGAGGCTGAGGCTGAGGCAGGCTGATGCTGAGGCAGGCTGAGGCTGAGGCTGATGCAGGCTGAGGCTGAGGCAGGCTGAGGCTGAGGCCGAGGCTGAAGGCAGACTGAGGCTGAGGCTGAAGCAGGCTGAGGCTGAGGCTGAGGCAGGCTGAGGCTGAGGCTGAGGCAGGCTGATGCTGAGGCAGGCTGAGGCTGAGGCTGAGGCTGGTGCAGGCTGAGGCTGAGGCAGGCTGAGGCTGAGGCCGAGGCTGAAGGCAGACTGAGGCTGAGGCTGAAGCAGGCTGCGGCTGAGGCTGAGGCTGAGGCAGGCTGAGGCTGAGGCTGAGGCAGGCTGATGCTGAGGCAGGCTGAGGCTGAGGCTGAGGCTGATGCAGGCTGAAGCTGAGGCAGGCTGAGGCTGAGGCCGAGGCTGAAGGCAGACTGAGGCTGAGGCTGAAGCAGGCTGAGGCTGAGGCTGAGGCAGGCTGAGGCTGAGGCTGAGGCAGGCTGATGCTGAGGCAGGATGAGGCTGAGGCTGAGGCTGATGCAGGCTGAGGCTGAGGCAGGCTGAGGCTGAGGCCGAGGCTGAAGGCAGACTGAGGCTGAGGCTGAAGCAGGCTGAGGCTGAGGCTGAGGCAGGCTGAGGCTGAGGCTGAGGCAGGCTGATGCTGAGGCAGGCTGAGGCTGAGGCTGAGGCTGATGCAGGCTGAGGCTGAGGCAGGCTGAGGCTGAGGCCGAGGCTGAAGGCAGACTGAGGTTGAGGCTGAAGCAGGCTGAGGCTGAGGCTGAGGCAGGCTGAGGCTGAGGCTGAGGCTGAGGCAGGCTGAGGCTGAGGCAGGCTGAGGCTGAGGCTGAGGCTGAGGCAGGCTGAGGCTGAGGCAGGCTGAGGCTGAGGCCGAGGCTGAGGCAGACTGAGGCTGAGGTGAAGCAGGCTCAGGCTGAGGCTGAGGCTGAGGCTGAGGCTGAGGCTGAGGCTGAGGCAGGCTGAGGAGGCAGGCTGAGGCTGAGGCTGATGCAGGCTGAGGCTGAGGCAGGCTGAGGCTGAGGCCGAGGCTGAAGGCAGACTGAGGCTGAGGCTGAAGCAGGCTGAGGCTGAGGCAGAGGCAGGCTGAGGCTGAGGCTGAGGCAGGCTGATGCTGAGGCAGGCTGAGGCTGAGGCTGAGGCTGATGCAGGCTGAGGCTGAGGCAGGCTGAGGCTGAGGCCGAGGCTGAAGGCAGACTGAGGCTGAGGCTGAAGCAGGCTGAGGCTGAGGCTGAGGCAGGCTGAGGCTGAGGCAGGCTGAGGCTGAGGCTGAGGCAGGCTGAGGCTGAGGCTGTGACTGCGACTGCCGTGGCCACTGCGACTGCCATCGCGAATGCGACTACGACTGCGAGAACACCAGAATTCTACAACAGGATTCTCATGTGAATCTTAAGGGGAATGCTTCCAGATATGCTCCTACACATCGCTGTTGGGTTGCTTTGCCGGGATAATATTTTGTGCGGCAATCTTGGATCTTATTCCGACTCGCCATCTTATTCTCAGCTCGATCGGTGAATCTTACCCAACAGCGACGACTGATAGGTTTCTAATGGGGTCAAAAGAGAGCATCTGATGACTCCCCAGGGGGGTCTGGGCGGGAGCCAGACAGGCGAGAACCGGGCTCGTTTTAAGCAAACAGTCACACACTTCGTGCTCTTCGACCTCCCAGAACTTTATTCCCGAGCCACATTTTGAATGCCCGGAGCCAACACTTCGTGCTCTTCGACTTCCCAGAACTCCATTCCCGGGCCTCATTTTGGATGCCCGGAGCCAACTGTAGGCCACTTCGTGCTCTTCGACTTCCCAGAACTCCATTCCCGGGCCACATTTTGAATGCCCGGAGCCTAATGTAAGCCACTTCGTGCTTTGGACTTCCCAGAACACCATTCCCGGGCCACATTCTGAATGCCTGGAGCCAACTGTAGGCCACTTCTTGGTCTTCGAGTTCCCAGAACTCCATTCCCGGGCCACATTTTGAATGTCTGGAGCCAACTGTAGGCCAATTCGTGGTCTTCGAGTTCCCAGAACTCCATTCCCGGGCCACATTTTGAATGCCCGGAGCCAACTGTAGGCCACTTCGTGGTCTTCGAGTTCCCAGGACTTCATTCCCGGGCTACATTTTGAATGCTGAGGCAGGCTGATGCTGAGCTGAGGCAGGCTGAGGGTGAGGCAGGCTGAGGCTGAGGCCGAGGCTGAAGGCAGACTGAGGCTGAGGCTGAAGCAGGCTGAGGCTGAGGCTGAGGCAGGCTGAGGCTGAGGCAGGCTGATGCTGAGGCAGGCTGAGGCTGAGGCTGAGGCTGATGCAGGCTGAGGCTGAGGCAGGCTGAGGCTGAGGCCGAGGCTGAAGGCAGACTGAGGCTGAGACTGAAGCAGGCTGAGGCTGAGGCTGAGGCAGGCTGAGGCTGAGGCTGAGGCAGGCTGAGGCTGACGCAGGCTGAGGCTGAGGCTGTGACTGCGACTGCCGTGCCCACAGAAGAGGGCGGGACGAGGGGAAGCCTCGTCCGCTCCTGAAAAAGACGGGCGGTCTGCCCACAGAGGGTCTGTACCATGGATCGGCGGCGAGTGAGGGGGGGGGGAGGGGGTCCTCGCAGAAGGCGGCGGGACTTCTCGAAAGCCCTCCGGCCGTCTGAGAAGTGCCCTTCTTTCTGTCTTCGGGGAAAGCTTAGCAGACTTCTCAGCAGGCCGGGGGACTTCCGGGCCTTCTGGGAAGGCCTGCCTCTTCTCACTCCCCCCCAGGGCTCGCCACCGAATTGAGAATCGATGCCGGGCCATGCCCTACCCTGTATCTGTGGCCCAGCCTGCCGCTACCACTGCCCAAGGCCTTGCCATTGCTCGGACGTCCATTCACCGCGCGTGTTTCGGCTTCGTGCGCTCAATCCGTTCCACAAGGTGAGCCAGAGAAAAATGCCACACCCTGGGGGGCGTCTTAAGCATAACACAAATTGTCGGAACACGAAAACCAGCCTCGTGCTGGTTGCGATCGACCTGGCGTCTCAGGACGGCCAAAAGACCACGACAACAACTAACCGAAGTGCTGCTGTCGAGATCAGTGGGTTTTCCCCCGAGGCACCCTCCCGAAAAATTCAATTAGTTCTGGACGCCTGGGATGGGTACGATAAAAATCGGCACGATGCACCAAAAATCATGTTGTCCAAAAACAACAGCGGTCGCCCTCTTGGGCAGGCGACCTTCTGTCTCAAACGAAAAACGTCCGCAGCGACGCCGACAGCAACTCCTGCTCAACATTGGCTTGCTGTTAGTCTTACAGCTAGAGAGCAGAAAACCTTGTCCACGACAAGCGAAGCAATTCAGAAAAAGCAACTCAAGAAGGAACCGAAAAAGGGCAGGGCTGCTTAGCAAACGTCCAGGGCCGCTTAGTGAACTCAGCTGATCGTGGTCAAAGTTTTGTCCTCCCTTGATCTTCGCATCCATTCATTCCGTCCCCATTGGTTGTGGCTCTTTCCTCTGCCCGGAGAGGCGGGCGATGGACCGAACCTTCGGACCTCGACGACTAGAGGCGCGCGAGCGCCGGGCGCAAGCTTCGCCATCGCTCAGACGTCCAGTCCACAGGCATTGTTCGGTCTCGTGCGAGTTTCTGTTGCTCGATGATCCAGGAGGCTCCCCGATGGTCCTCGCCGTGCGACAGTACACACGCCCGAGCGATGCCAGGAAGCCCGCGTTTGTGTGAGGGGCTTTCGCTGTCCGGGCAGCAGGTGGTGGCAGAAAGACGGGCCTTAAGCGTGCCTCAGACCCTGAGGGCAAATCAAGGTGAATGAGACGAAGCAATGACGATGATAAAACTGGGGGAGGCTGAATCGAGAATCTCTTAGTTCAGGCGGCTCTGGAGGATGTCTCCGTCGCCGCAACCTTCTCAGAGCGTTCCAGAACGCTCTGGGAGCGTTCTAGAACGCCCTGGAGCGGACTTATCCTCGTCCTGGCCCCGTCCGAATGAAGGAGAGGGAATGACGGGGGGGATACTCTCTCGTTGCTCTGTCGCTTCTCTGTTTTTATTTCCCATCTCCAATAGATGGGGCTCTTGCTACTACTCCAGTAATATGTTGTGTTATCGTATCGTACGTGAAAAATACTATGTGTGTGTTGTTATGGTTACGATGTGATGTTATCTTACGATGGTGCTGCAGAAGCAGATGATGATGATAATGATGATGATGATGATGATGATGATGATGATGATGATGATGATGATGATGACGATGATGATGATGATGATGATGATGATGATGATGGCGATGATGGCGGAGCAGATTCTGAGGATGTCTCGCGCGAAGCGCAGATTTCAGCATCCCCACGGGGGAGACGCCAGGGGGTAATGCACTCCTCCCTCGCGACAAAATGGTGGGATGTCTCAAACGGTTCTCATGTTTCACCACCCGACAGCATCCGCTTTCGGAGCAGATGTTCAGGATGTCTCCAGCGAAGCGCGGGTTTTCGCACCCCGGGGGGAGGGGGGCAGATGTTGAGGATGTCTCGAGCAGTTTGCTTATTCCTTGGTGGCCACATTCGTCTGGGTTCTGAGTAAAGTATGGGGATGTCTCGGGTGAGGTGTCGGCTTCTACACCCCAAGGGGCGCAGAGGGCGAGAATGTCTCAGATTCACTTATCCTCAAACTCACTTGTGCTCAGGCTCGCTTGGACTCAGACTCGTGCTCATCACACTCATACCCAAACTCGCTCACACTCAAGCTTACGCACAGGAATGGCTCCAATCCAATGTCTTTTACGTACGCTCCTATCCATTAGGCCCTTTACTGGGGCACGAATCTGTAATGTCTTACGTACGTTTCTATAGCTTCAAATCCTCCTCCTCATCATCATCCTCCTCCTCTACACCCCCATACTTCTTATGAGGAGGTGCGGACACTCGCTTGCCCAACTGGCGAGGCGGCAAAGAAATTCGCCAGCTCACACCCAAGAGGCGTGTAAGATGTCCGGTAACGATTTCACAACATGTTTAATTCATGCGCGTAGGGCGGCCCTTGGGAGCCTCCGAACGAATAGTATATTCGCGAGATCCCGCATAGGTCCGGGTCAAATCCCAGGCCATCCCATGAAAGAAAGCAATGTCCGCAACCACTCAGACGGATCGTTGCTTCCACAGTGGGCGCTATAATCGACAACCCTTTCTCCCGCCCAAAAAGCACCTCAAGAAGCCCCCAATATCTCCGCAAGAGACCCATCAGAGCCCAAGAAGCCGCCGAGGAGCCCCAAGAACCCCCCAAGAGATCCTGAAGAAGCTTGTACCATCACAAAAATAACATCCCACGGCCGGCGGAATGGGCGAAGCAATTGAATTCAGAGCAAAGAAACATGACAGGCACCGGACACCAGCGCCGAGCGCGACTCCGGCAACCTGGCACAAGACAAAGGAACCCAGGAGGAAAGGCAGGAGGAGGATGTGAAGAGGACGGAGGCTCACATTAGAAATCGCTGGAAAACACCCACAAAAGAAAAAACACGTCATTGAAAGCCGCACGCCAAAATGACATCTCCCTCTTTCGTGGCCTGTGGCAAGAAGGCCCTTTCGTGCGCAACCTTAGTGGCAGCCGCAACAACCTGGATCGGCAACACGAACGGGTGACCCTCGGCAACAACGCCTTTTGATGCGCAGCCTTAGGGGGGCCCGCCGGGGCCTGGACAACCGCGCGAACCAAAACCGTCGGATTGCACGAACGACCGACGGGAGCGCGTCGATAGATCCCTGGCGCGAGAAGGCAACTACGAACGTCGGCCAATTCATTTCGACAGCCCCAGAACGCCCGCCCGAGGGCTCTGCGAAGTCAAATGCATTCGGGCGCCAGCACGGAAGGTTCTGGCACTGCCGGGCCGCATCGTGATGGCGTCTATCTGAATCCGGCGTCAAAACCGCAACTTGGCCCCTCCGAAATCGAAAATATCTTTCCATAGTAAAAGGAATGCCTTGGGAAACGCGGAAAAGCAAGTTTTTTTCAAAGTTAATCAAAATCTCCTAGGACGATTCGAAACTAATCCCAAGGAGGAAACTCACGTGGCCCGCTCGAGTGGACCCCCCCGCCAAACAAAGCACGCCGCAGAATGCGCCGCGCATGCGTTGCGATCGACTGCAAGGGGCGCGTCCCGAATCAAACGCCCCTCGATTGCGAAGGCCCCAGCGAAGCGGCGGAGAGAGAAAGAGAGCGGAAGGACAAATGCTGCCCAGCGAGGCGGAGATCGTTGTAGGCCTACCCATCTGCACGCGCGCGCTTGGCCACATGGGCCGCCTTCATGCGCTCAAGCGTGGCAGCGTTATTCTTATCAATCTCCTTATTCTCGGGGACTTCCGCCCTGGCGCGCAAGATTGCGCCCGCGCCCCTTGCGCGCTGAGCCCGCCACTGCGCCGACTCGATTTTCTTCAGGGGGCCCAGAACAACGTCGTTGGCCTGCAAGCGAAGCTGGCGACCCCAAGAAATCTCAAACTTCGCCTCCCGCCCAACCCTCAAAGCGCCGTCAGCAATGACTGCGCTTCGGGGGCAGAAAATGGATCCGAAACGGGAAGCGATCGTGCAAACTCCCTTCTCTTCGTTCACGCTCACCACCACGCCCGGAAACCGAGTTGATCCTGGGTCTTCCACCGCCTCAGGCTGCTCGTCCTTGCGCGAAAACAAAGAACGAGTCTGCGGCCCACGTTGCGGCGCCCCTGGGCTCTCCTCGAACACCTCGCCCACGAAAGGGACGCCACGTGCTCGGACATCTGCCACTGCGACTTTGGAATCCTGGCCGCCATCGGAGAATTTGACCATCACGAACGCTATCTTGCATCCGCAACAACAGCGGCTGAACTTCGCTGGCCCAGGGCCCCGTAGACCCAGACACGCTAAACCAGGACACGCAGCAACGCTAGAAACCAACTTTTCGAAACGGCTTCGCCAAGAAACCAGTCGACGCAATATCCCAAGCAGAGACCTGGAGGTCAGCATCAAAAAAGAATCTCCCCTCCAATAACGAAACAAAAAATTATCCCGGCAAAGCAACATAACAGCGATGTGTAGGAGCATATCTGGAAGCATATCTGGGAGCATTCAAAATGTGGCCCAGGAATGGAGTTCTGGGAACTCGAAAACCAAAGTGGCCCACAGTTGGCTCCGGGTATTCAAAAAGTGGCCCGGGAATGGAGTTCTGGGAACTCGAAGACCACGAAATGGCCTACAGTTGGCTCCGGGCATTCAAAATGTGGCCCGGGAATGGTGTCCTGGGAACTCGAAGACCACGAAGTCGCCTACAGTTGGCTCCGGGCATCCAAAATGTGGCCCGGGAGTGGGGTTTTGGGAAATCGAAATACACGAAGTGACCTACAGATGGCTCCGGGCATCCAAAATGTGGCCCCGGAGTGGAGTTCTGCGAAGTCGAAGAGCACGAAGTGGCCTACAGCTGGCTCCGGGCATGCAAAATGTGGCCCGGGAATGGGTTCTGGGAGGTCGAAGAGCACGAAGTGAGTGACTGTTTGGTTAAAACGAGTCCGGTTCTCGTGTCCGGCTCCCGCCCAGACCCCCCTGGGGAGTCATCAGATGCTCTCTTTTGACCCCATTAGAAACCTATCAGTCTTCGCTGTTAAGTAATAACGAAACAAAAACAAAATTATCCCGGCGAAGCAACCTAACAGCAGTGGCCTTCGAGCACGAAGTGGCCTACAGTTGGCTCCGGGCATTGAAAATGTGGCCCTGGAATGGAGTTCTGGCGATTCGAAGAGCACGAAGTGGCCTACAGTTGGCTCCGGCCACTCAAAATGTAGCCCGGGAGTGAAGTTCTGGGAGGTCGAAGAGCACGAAGTGTGTGACTGTTGACGAAAAACGAGCCCGGCTCTGTTCCCGGTTCTCCAGAAAGTGGCCCGGGAATGGAGTTCTGTGTGTGAGTGTTGGCGAGAAGCGAGCCTGGCTCTGTTCCCGGTTCTCCAGAATGTGTCCCGGGAATGGAGTTCTGGGAGGTCGAAGAGCACGAAGTGTGTGACTGTTGGCGAAAAACGATTCCCGGTTCTCCTCCCCAGCACCCGCCCAGACCCCCCTGAGGAGTCATGATGCTCTCTTTTGACACCACTAGAAACCTATCAGCAAACGCTGTTAGGTAACGATTCCTGCAGCGCAGAGAACGCGCCTGCGCCCTGGTTAGTCAATGTCCTGGTTTCCGGCGCCCTGACTGGCACGTAGATTCCGTGCTCGGGCCAACGAACTTCGACAAAGTCTCCATAGCGGAAACTTCCGCCAAACCGAACATCCTTCCCATGAGCCAGCCGACGCGTCTGCGGCCAACTGCTCGGGCAACTGCCGGATGGCGCACAAAGGGATGTCTGGGACGGGCACCTCGTCGGCCAGCACGAAGAGGTCCATGGACACCCCGCGGCACTCGATGACCTTAGCGAGGCGAACGTCCCCGTCAAGGTCGACGTGCACCAACCCACCCACTGAAAACCTTTTGTCCCATGTTTGCAACTCCCGTTGCACCGCAGTTTCTGACCCTGACAAACTCGTCAGCACGGCCGCGCCGCCAGCATCATTGCCCGCGGTGCCCTCCGAGGAAATGTAGAAGATTCCAGCGCGATCCACGAAGGAGAAATGCGATTGCAGGTGCTTCTTCCTGAAGTTCGGAAACCGCGTGGTGAACAGACCAAACGGCACGGCAGGCGCATTCGCGGAAAGCCACGCATGCATTCGCGGCAAGACAGCAGACAAGTCGGACATGATAAGCTGGTCTCCAGATGCTCTGGTTCAGGCGAAAGACACCGATGGAGAGACAGTTGCCACCCGGAAAATCCGAGGTCGGAAGAAGCAACTGAAAAAAAACAGCCCTTGAACCAACAAGAAGCTTGAGAACGAGGAGAAGGAGAGGGAGGCAAGGCCTATAGCAATCACCTCCGCAGGCCGATCTCAGCCCTCTGCTGCCTACAGGGAGATGCATTGGATAATTTCCTGTCGATTCGAATGCAGCCGACCCCGCCTCAGCCGAAATTCAAATTAATATCCACCCGATCGAGCTGACATTGAGATGGCGAGTGGGAATAAGATCGAAGATGGCGGGAGAAAATACTAGGACCCAAACGAATGGACAAATTTCGAGAACATAATTTTCAACAGACCAAACTGGGCGCCGGCGGTAAATCGTCAACCTTGGTTACCGCCGGGAACTCGTAGAGCTTCCTCTTGCGACTGCCCAGCGAAAGTTGCATTCTAATTATTACAGCGTTTCAGAGATTTCTCCCTTGCCAAGATGATCTCAGCCCTCTGGTGCCTTCAGAGAGATGCGCTGGATCATGTCCTGTTGATTCGAATGCATCAGGGCTCTGGCAATGGCCCGTGGCTCGAGTTATCTTCGAAAAACCGTCGCAAGCACCCAAAGTTGCACCCTAATGATCAGAGGTTTTCGAACATTTCTCGTGCTTCAGGCCGATCTCAGACCCGCTGATGTCTACAGGAAGACGCATTTGATAATTCCCCGTCGATTCGTATGAATCTGGGCTCTGGCAATGGCCTGTCGCTCGGGTTATCTTCCAGGGGCCACCATTAGCACCCAAAATGAGCTCTAACTGCAAATCCCGCCTCCGAGCTTCATACTAACTATCCCGTCAAAGCAACCTAACAGCGATGTGTAGGAGCATATCGGAAAGCATTCCCCTGAAGATTCAGATGAGAATCCAGTTGTAAAGTTCTGCTGTTCTCGCAGTCGTAGTCGCATTCGCGATGACAGTCGCAGTGGCAACGGCAGCCTCAGCCTGCGTCAGCCTCAGCCTGCCTCAGCCTAAGCCTTAGCCTGCCTCAGCCTCAGCCTCAGCCTGCTTCAGCCTCAGCCTCAGTCTGCCTTCGGCCTCGGCCTCAGCCTCAGGCTGCCTCAGCCTCAGCCTGCATCAGCCTCAGCCTCAGCCTCAGCCTGCCTCAGCATCAGCCTGCCTCAGCCTCAGCCTCAGCCTGCCTCAGCCTCAGCCTCAGCCTGCTTCAGCCTCACCCTCAGTCTGCCTTCAGCCTCGGCCTCAGCCTCAGCCTGCCTCACCCTCAGACTGCCTCAGGCTCAGCACCAGCCTGCCTCGGCATTCAAAATGTAGCCCGGGAGTGAAGTCCTGGGAACTCGAAGACCACGAAGTGGCCTACAGTTGGCTCCGGGCATTCAAAATGTGGCCCGGGAATGGAGTTCTGCCCTGGGGTTGCTCGGATCGCGTTTTTTGATCCGACACTCTTCGACACTGCAATTTTGATCCAAGGTTTTGTTTTTGATCCAACGTGGTCACACGGCACAGTTTTGATCCAGACCATGTTTTTTGATCAAAACCATGTTTTTTGATCCAAACCATGTTTTTTGATCCAACGACGCTTGTACAGCATGTGCACGATTATATGTTGCGTGGCCACTACATATACATATGTATGTACAAGTATACATATATGCATATACAATTATACATAACCATATATATATATACATATACATATACGTAAGTGCAAATGCATAAGTACATACATATACATGTATATGCATACATGTACACATAGTTATATGCATATGTATATATATATATATATATATATGTGTATATATACACAAATATGCATATATACATGTGTGTATATACATATACACATATGTAAACATACATATATTTATATAATGTGTATGTATGACCGTAAATTATGTTGCATGCACATATTTATATATATATATATATATATATATATCACGCCTGGGACCCCAGTGAGGTCCGCGGAGTACGCCTGGGAACGTGCGCCCGCGCTGTAGGGCGCGCCGCGGTCTCAAGCGCGGGGCGCCCTAAAGCGGGGGTCGGCGGACTCACGCGCCTGGGGGCCCGATGGCGGCCCGCGGATCACGCCCAAGGTCCCCGATCTGCGGGGCGGCGGGATTTTGCCGTGCCGTGTCGTGCCGTGCCGTTCTGCCTTGGTTGTCTCAGGCGTCTTGGGGTGTCTGGGGCCTTATGCGTCTTGGTGAGTCTTGAAGCATCGGGCGTCTTGGGCGTCTAGGGGCCTGAAGCGTTTTGGGGAGTCTGGGCTTTATGTGTTCTGGAGCGTCTATAGGGCCTCAGGCATTTTAGGTGTCTAGAGGCCTTAGGCGTCCTGGGGTGTCTGGGGGGCCTTAGATTTCTTCGGGGTGTCCTGTCACCGCGGGCCCGTCTCTCCTTGAAATTGTGGCTCAAGCGCGTTGTCGGCGCCACGAGGATGGCGACCCCACCGAACGAGGATATTGTGAACCGCATCAGCGCATTACTTAAGACGAACGCGCTCTTGCCATACCGCGATGAGCTCGCAGGCCGCAGGGACATCGACGCCCTGGTGAAGCATCGCGAACTCATCGTTGCCGTGAAGGACTGGGCCGTCGTCGTCGTCAACCTCGTGTTCGTCTTCCTTTTCTTGATCCTCCACCTCCCAAACAAGGACGCTGGTAACAAGGGGGAGCTGAAGATCCTTTTCCAGAAGGTGGCGGAGAACCGCAATTCAGAATGGCAGCTCGGTCCCGAAGCAGAGGCATGGGCAACGAAAATGGGCAGACGAGCTCAAGCCATGCGCCGCGACATCCAGCAGGCCATCACGAAAGCCAGAGATAGCGACAACGTTCCCGAGTGGCTCAGCCCGTTCATGCAGGACGGGACCGACAAGACGGAGTACGATGTCAAGTACATACGGGACGAGCAGGCTTGCTATCGGACTCAGAAGGGCGTCAAGAAGCCTTTGCGGGAGGAGTCTGAGCCGCTGCAGCCCAACGACGAGGGCGACGATGAGTTGGTCCTGGCGAAGTGGCATGACGGATTCACGCGCAGGATCCTGAACTTGACAAATAAGACGTTGAGGGCCCTGCAGGTGGACAACGGATCAGGGGGTCGGCGCCCTTCAAGCGTGACCGAGATCAAGCGGGAGGTGGCCAAGGACGGAGCTACGTGGCGACTGATCGACGCTAAGGAGCGTCGCCCAGATGTTCCTGACGTCGCTTTCCTGCGCATCTTCAGGGTCCAGGGCGCGGCGAAGCCGATGTTGCAGCTGGTAGTGACGCGCCACACCGCAGACGAGAAGGAGAAGGCCACATGGGAGAGGTGGGGGAGGATTGGAGAGGAATAGGACGGGGGGTCATCGGGTCAACGGTCGGTCAACGCATGCGCATTGACCTGCCGTGGAGCCGGTGACCCGGTGGCCCCCCAGCCGTTCGCTCCGCATCCTCCCTCTCCTCGCCTAGGCGATTGCCTGCATGAAGAAGAGCCGTTTTGCGCTCAAGCCATTGAGCGTTGCAGGTGCAGGATTCAAAACGGCACTTCGTGCCTGCGAGTCATTCAGCTTCGGAGAGGGCCGTTCCCTCACACGTTCATAATCATTTCGCCGCCATGGGGAAGGGCGGCTATGGCAAGCGTGGCCCTGGAGGTCAGGGAGACAAGGGCGGCAAGGGTGGCAAGAGCTTCCCTTCGGCGGCCGCCCTCGAGCGGGAGATCGCGCTGTTCGACGGTGGCGGCTCTCCTCCTCCTCCTTGGGCTGCACGCATTCCTGGGCTGCAACAAGATGCTCCTCCAGCCCTCTGGACATGCTCGGCGTGCGGCTGCAGGAAGAACGAGATGCGCTGGTCTCGCTGCAAGCATTGCGGCTCTCAGTGGACCCCGTTCCAGCCATGCACGCCCTCCTCCTTCGGCACGCCTGGTGGAGTCTGGTCAGCTGGCTTCAGTGGCAGTCTGCCGTTCTCCCCTTTTGCTGCTGCTCAAGGGCCTCCAGGCACCTTCGCGCTCGGCGACAATGGTGGAGGCAAAGGTGGCAAGTCACCAGGCGGTCCAGTCAAGCCAGAGTCCCTTCTCTCTCGGGAAGAGCATGCGTCTTTGGCGGAGTTGCTGGCCAAGTCTGGCGACGCGCTGGGAGCGGCCAAGCATCGTGAGCTGGCCAAGCCTCCACCTGCGGTCAAGGAACCCACCCTGCAGCACCAGGTCTCCATGGCCCACAGCAAGCTGCGCGGCCTCGAGCGGAAGTTGCAGGGCGCTGTTCAGAGGTACGAGGAGTGGTCGGCGCAGATGGTGGAGCAGCGTGCATTGGTCACCAAGTTCACTGAGGAGTGCGAGCAGGCCGACGCTGCGCATCGTCGACTTGTGGCCGCCCTACATGCTCAGACGTCAGCGGCTGACTTGCAGAAGGAGCCAGTTGACAAAGCCGTGCCATGTTCGCTGTCTTCGATCATGGACGGGTCCTTCACCGACAAGCTGGTCATCGACCCCTCGGAGCTGCTCGGTGGCGTCGAGGATTTCGAGCTCTCGGAGGCCGACAAGGAGGAGCTCGAGAAGAGGGGCAACCAGCTGCGAGAGGGCATCCAAAAGTTGGCACAGCGTCTTTTCGCGCAGGCCTCCGAGACTGCCAAGAAGATCCAGGAGGCACACAAAGAGCATCTTGGACGCCTGGCCAAGAAGAGGAAGACTGACGAAGGTGCAGCTCCTGGCGATGACGGAGGTGGTGGTGCTGAGGCAGCCGCAGCCGATTCTGCCACTGGTCCTGCGGCAGCAGCAGCGCAGCCTACGGAGGTGGATGCTGAAGCTACCGCTTCTGCTGCTCTACGCCAGCGGGCCGCCAAGATCATTCAGCATGGGCAGCCTGAACAAGACCCTCCCCCTGCTGCCGCGTGAGCTTCAGCAGGGGGGCCTTCATCGTGAACACGTTCAACCCAGCGGCACGCTCACTTGCCCAGCCTGGCACATGTTCTCTCCGTTCCCCTCGGCAGGGGACTTTAATGCTCTGGGCCTCGGCCTTGCACCTTGGGGCGGAGACGAGAGTTGCCCAGGCTGGCAAGCAGAGCCCGCACCCGCTGAAGCAGCAGTCGACGCTCGCCCTCGTGGGTGCCTTCAGCCTGCTGCTGACGGAGTAGGGCAGTCTTTTTCTTTCGGAGCCGTGGACCTCGAGGCCTCCGTTC